CAGAACCATCTGAAATACATCAGACCAGAACCATCTGAAATACATCAGACCAGAACCATCTGAAATACATCAGACCAGAACCATCTGAAATACATCAGACCAGAACCATCTAGAGAAACAGTATCAGACTGGAACATCATGGGAGCAGAGGATCATCCCTCATGGTTCCCAGTCAGCCGATCTGGAGGGTTAGGCTCTGCATTAGCCTGTGATCCATCAGATCTTCCAGAATCACAATCTCAGCTCAGCAGAACATCTCAGAAGAGAGAACCAGCGGACGTCTTCCATACTGAGTGACACCCCCACTGGGATGATGGAGGATGTCAGCAGGATGGGGTCCTGATGGTGGGTCTGACACTCCTGGTTCTGGACCTTTGGTTGGCATGAAGGAGTTCTGACCAAGGCCTAGCACCACTTAGCAGCAGAACTTGGTAAGTAATCTGATTACTCCAGGTTCCACAGCTGCATCATCATCCCCCCCTCCCCAAACGTCTCCTAGCAACAGTAAGCTCAGTGTGTGGGGAGCAGCCCAAGGTGTGAAGCTGGCTCTGTGTTGCCATGGTGATGATGGCATTGCCTGGGCAACCAAGAGGCACATTCCTGATACTGCAGTAATTAGGGTGCGTAAGGAGTAAGAGTAGATATCTGGTCCAATAGCAGGCTGATTGTTGTTCTGATTGGTTTTGCAGCTGAGGGATGCCGCTGGTGAAGAGGATCATCGAGCCCAGGTACCTGTGCCGCGGAGCTCTGCCTGATGGGGTCGCCAGCGAACTGGAGTGCGTCACCAACAGCACACTGGCTGCTGTCATCAAGCAGCTGGGAGGACTTAGTGAGTGATCCTGACTTGGTTCTGTTCTAGTTCCTTTCACTCAGAGGTTCTGCATGGTTAAATAGAAAACAGGACAGAGAGGACAGGCAGAACCCAGATGTCTTCTGGTTTCTCTCTGTGTAAGACAGGGGTTCTCATAGTGGGGGTTGGGAACCGATGGGGAGGCTCAGACTGGGAACGATTTTCGGTCCTGG